ATGAAAAACTTGTATTGGTTTATTTATTCTTCAGATTAAACAATATATTTAATTATAATTTAAATCCACAGTTCGCAGTTTAAGTCCAATCCATTCGGAGTGCGCAACAATTAAACATACTGCTAACAGTACACAAACACATAGGCCTGCAGCCGAAATTTCTAGACTGCTTAGAAAGACAATTCCGCTACATGGTCCTCCCATATAAACAAACTATACATTTTTGGAAAGCTTATAACACCAGGAACACAAATCCAGATTTAAGGCCAGATGTAGGGTGACCCACCATAAATAAATATCTCCAAATATCTCGACAATTACGCCACAATATTTATAGATATGCCAAGCCTCAAATCAGTTTCACACAATTATAGTCACTAAATAAACGATCATGTTGTACTTAATAAGCTATGACCATTAATCATCTATGAATAATAGACTGAAAACTGGTTCCAAGTGTCGTCCATAACATCCAGACACTTTTAAGTAAAAGATAGGTTACGTGCCCTAGTTTTGAAATTAGTCTCGCTTAACCAGTCTATCGACCATTCTACGTCTGATTGACAGGTCGGGATAATCAAGACTACTTTTTTACGAAACATAACAGAAAGCTAGAACAAGAAATTGAATTTAGAAATGAAATTTAAGCACGTTAGCTAGCTCAACAATTGTTTTAAGAAGCTTGTTAAAGTAAAATGAAACTACTGCTAGTATCTTGTTCCTGTCTAACCCGAGTGTTTCAGGGATATTATTTGTAGTAAACCAAAAGATGCCGCTCTTAACGGTACAGTTAATGATAAAGCGATTTAAAAAATGAAACGAACGTAATTTCTAAATCTGCTGTAATAACCAAGAAGCTTAATTTTACTGCTATTCAGATGAAAATTGTGATAATTTTCAAGTAAAATGCTATATTTATACTAACAATTGTGAAGTTGACATAAAATTTTGATTTAAACCAAAATGCAGAAAACATAATGGACAAGGGAACTGTCAAATGTCTGCAATTGATAACAGAATTACAGCACTCGGCAAACCTCGGCAGATTCCGGTACCCTACATCTAGCCTCGGCTGTATGACAGTAAGTGATATGTACCTGCGCCTATACATTTGCGACGCGGCACCGGTTTACTTATAAGGGAAACTTGCCCGCGTTTAGAAAGAAGTTCTCAAAATTGCGTCGTTCGAAGAGTGTGTAGAGTTTTCAGTGCAAATTTGTCCTTGTCTAAAGAAAATCGGATAAACTTGAAAGAAAAACAGCTTCAAACTTTGAAAATTTTGTAAGATAAAACATTCTTCAAATACCTCGTCATCAATGACGTCATTGGTCGTCATGGACAACGCCATTGTAATCCGGGAACTTGAAAGTAGTTCTAATGACGGACTTTGTCATACAGCCGAGATTAGATGTAGGGTACTGGAATCTGTTGAGGTTTGCCGAGTGAGTATTACAGGTGTGTGTTGACTGCTGATGCTGTATGACGCACAAGACCACGTGTGAGCACACAAGCCCAATATTTATATCGTTAATGGGGTCCCAGGGGACTGCAAGGGTTGGTGAGCGGGTGTTTACCAAGAAATTATGGGTGGAGCACCTATTCTGATGAGTAAGGAGATATGTTGACATTGGTTGAGCAATATGTCTATGAAGTAATGGAAACCGGACTCTGTCCGTAGTTTTGTAAATCACCTTGAAACAACGTGATTTTTTCCACTAAAACATAAACCCACACTAACATACCCTTTCAATTAGGCCCTACGTTATTTTTACTACAGGTAGCTGTAAACCTCTAGTTCAGATATTTAAGGCAGAATTACAAACATTTAAACTGAAACCGTATCTATAATTGTATAATTTGCTAACAAATATAGATATAAGACAAACATTACTTATTGAAGTAAATCAATTATTGAAGATCAAAATTAAACAGTTACTCTGCACTTTAAATCTCATTAAAGTTGGTCGTTATCATCATCACTGTCACTACATGTATAAATAACAATTTCGTTTTCATTTTCACATTTACTACACTTACACAGATTAGATAGGTACACGTTCAAGACAACCCCGGTGCGCACCCCCCCCCCCCCCCCCAAAAAAAAAACAGTATTTCTACTAATATATCTGTAAACTTTTAGTTCAGATAAGATTTCGGGCTAAATATTTGAATTGAAACAAAGCATCTATATGTAATATTCTCACTAAAATAGAAATGAAATGGGGTTTAACGTCCTACTGTTCTGCTCCGAACCTGGGCTAATAAAGACGGGCATACGCCATACAGTCTGCTATGGGTGAAATTTTGCCCGGGACCTCGGTTTTTCGTCCAATCGGAACAACTCACTAAAATATATAAATGGGAAATCCTAAATAATACTGTATGGGAGTAGCAATTGTAATGAAGAGAAAAAAATATCAAATGAAGTTTAATGCCTAACTGTTCAGTATTAACCGGAATAATGAAGATGTGCGTATACACCCGCCATACATTATGCTATAGGGGGGATTTGGACCAAACAGCAACGTTACGGTCTACACTTTATTTCGAATTTAAAGTTCTTTTACGTGCACGCCAACGTGTGCACGGGGCCTTAGTTTTATATTCCATCCAAATAACTAAACGCTGCCCCCACCCCCACCCCGACTTCCTGCACCGCTGACAAGGTGAACCAACGCTGGATGTATTGGGGAACTGTCTAGGTCAGCACGAGGATCAAACCCCGGACCTCCTGATTAGTGAGCCACGGACAAGGGGAGACCACGCCAGACTACGTTCAAACCCTGGGCCGCACACTGATGATGACATTTACATACTAGCTGTACATGTACAATGCCCCCCCCCCCCCAATCTATCATGTATGACGTATGCTCATCTTCATTATACGGGTTGTTGCAGAACAGTTAGACATTGAACTCCATTTTTTAGCGTATCATTTTGAATCTTTTCATACTTATTCTTTATACCCTAAGGAACATCTCTATTGTTTGTGGTGCATTCCCAACCCCCCAGGGGCAGAGCCACGCGAAAAACGTCATAGTTATCTGATCAAAATCCCGAAAGTGACCGAATTGTTATTTTTGAAGTGTAATTCCCCATTAAATGAACGGAAAATAATAGTTACGAAAAGTCACGAATATTGAAGCGCAAACCAAGAGTTGCCTCCCATTAATAACAATGGGAATCTATATCCACATTATGTGAACATGTGTTGATATTAAACCAAACAGGGTCCGTGAGAGGTTGGGAAAGCTTGGCACTTGTTCAGGGGCCCAGAGCCTAGAGGAGACAGGAGGTATGTCGAGTAATGTTTTTAAATTGTTGGTATATAAATTAATAACCAAATATACTGTTACTTGATCGTGATGTAGAAGAAAATCGGTGACTTTTCTGAATGTGTGTACCCGGTGGCGTAGGTAGGATTAGAATCGGATTCTGTTAGAACACTTGTTTTGGAAAAGTTGTTGAATTTATAACTATGAACTACCTGCCCGGGCCTTCACGTCGTGGTGTTCCGTGCCGTCCTCGTTCCGTTTGAGACTCGGTACTGACAAGGTATCCGGGTCCGGGCAGATAATCGCGGCCTAGTCTGGGCTCTGCCGCAAGTGATCGTGCATGCGATTACCAATCGCTTATGTAAGCTGACTGGTATCCGATCATTGAAAACGAAACTAAAAGAGAAACTTTTGCTTTCGACTACGTTTAGTTAAGTTAAAAATCTTGATGTTTTCCAATATTTTTGCCAATTGCGGACCTTTTTCCGATCAAGGACAGCGTGATTCATCACTAATATGTCCGGGAGAATCGTATTAACCGTTCGGTCTGGCAATTTTAAGCAGGGCTTAATGGCTTGTCACGTACTGTTAATTTTGATGAGGCCATTGATTTCGCTTCCATGTGTGTACGGAAACTTTCGTTTGAAACCAAGTTCAACATGATTTGGGGTATTGAAAAAAAAATTAAACGAATAGTTTTTGTGATGAACAAATTTCCATTTGATATTTTAGCGCCTGATGGTCACGTTTTTTGTTTTTCCATTTGTTTGCCTGCTTAAAATGTCCTGTTAAAACCGCGTTCATCTGATTATTATTACATTAGTAAAACTAAAACGTAGTACATGTATTTGGTATGTCATGTTGTGTTGTGTTAAATCTCAGTTTCCGTGTTTCAGCAAAGTGACCCCCAGTTACCTCAGATATACGCCAAACTGACGCTGGAAACGCCCCCCCCCCCCCCCTGCCCCCTGATGGGTTGTTTGTTCCAGGGCCCAGATGATCCTGTCGCGGGTCCTGAAACCAAACACTGAGTTATAGTAAACTTATTGTATGGGCTTTTTGGACTAGGAACTGGCCCTATGCCCCACACATCTTGTTCTTCTCGGGGGCAATGCTCTTCGAAAAACAATAAGGACAAATATAAGGGCCCACCGGTATTTCTAATAAATAGTTTGAGCATCCGCTCGACTACAACAGGCCTGGACTGATATTTGTGTTGTCGAGAAGGAAAGCGATTAGAACCGTCATTATAATTTTGCTGTTAATGTCATTTAAACCGACAGCCCCGTTAAATTTTTCTGGAAACGAAACCATCTAAGACTTAATTAATTATATTTAAAGCCGGGCTCGCTACCGTTTTTCACGGCCTTGGTCATGCTAACACCGAAGGTTTGATATACCCTGGTATGTCAATGGGTTAGGGAGAAACGGTAACTCAGTTGACCGAGCAAGTTCCTTGGGATTTTCCAGTGTGGTTTCCCCTTGTCTGTGGTGCAGGGTGGCGGGTCTGGCAAAGACAGTGTCTAGTCGTTCGGATAGTACGAATACGTAAAACCAAGGCCATGTGTACATATTGGCGTGCACGTAAAATAATCTTTGAGAGTTGGAATTCTAAGTAAGAGTAGACCCCCCTTCTACGGCCGCTGTTCAGGCAAAATGTCCCTCATAGCCCACTGTATGACGTAAGTCCGTCATCATTAACCCAGTCTAGATAAAAAGACAACCTACTTTTAAAAGTATTTATTGTTAACAAACACAATATAAACATTTCACAAAGGATAACTATAGGTTATATTCTGATAATTTACATCACGATCCTTTGTCTACATACACAAGATTATTATATAATAGATAGTATTATTACATACAAAATGCTCTTCACAACGCAAATAAGAAAGGTGATGGATATAACGATATGAACTTTTCAATTAAAACTACAAATTGCAAAGATCTGAAGAAAAAAAAGAATCTCGTTCAAAGGGATAATATAATGATTTCTTGAAGTTGAATTTGTGAGAGGTTTGATGAAACGTGGACTGGAAATACATAAACCCAATCAATGAATTTATGAAGTACCAATCTGTCATCGGCTAAAACATTTTACAAACCAATTAAGGACAGCAAATAAAGGTGTTATTATGTATGGTATTTTTAATATTTTGAATCATAATTTCTGACCTTCGACTAAATCTCGCCGTGGGTGGACTCGATAGCAGTTCATTAAAATGGCTGTCAATACTAAAATGTAAACAATGCCCGGATTCAAATAATTGAGTAATTTTATAAAACAAAATTGTTAACGCTAACTTTGTATGCCCATACACAATTTGACAAGAGATCTGATCATAAATTTTATTTGCTACAGGCTGAAGATTGCAGAGTTCAGGTGCCTAGTTAATAGGATGTTAACATTAATAGGAAAGAATATTATGCTTTAGTGTAATAAATATATGTAATACTTTATGCTGTAAATAAATGATAATGAAAGTTAGTATATGATATGTTAATTAGATTCATTATAAGCACATAATAAATGAGAAATAAACGGAAACCAATAAGACATTAATCAATACCTTGAAATGAAACGTCCCTTTCTCGGAATCTTGATTACGACCAAATTCCGAGGATTGTATCCCGAAAGTTTATTAGATTAACAACGGTTTAGCTAACCATTGAATAGATACAATCTGTAGCTAAACACCGAGTGAGGACTTTAGGCAGTGTTTAGACCGAAATTGTCCGTTTTGCCATTGGTGAAGATCGCAAAAGATTGCTTGCTACTTCATTTAACTTGATCAAATTAAATCCCTTAGTGAATGATCTTTTTTTCAGATTAACATGTTTATAAGTTAGATCATCCAAGTATTATATTTACGATCTTTTTAGGAAACAGAGAATATCGTATTATTTTTGCATTTATATGTTTTTTAAAGTATTTATTTTGCATTATCTGTTGAAAGTTAGTTGGTAAATATAATCCTTTTGGAGCATGAAAAACATTTCTATACGCCCATAATGCAGTTTTGCCATCTAGTCGCTAAATTACCCCCCTCCACGTAGATTAACTAATTATTTGGGGTTTTAAATAATGTTTAAATTGAAGTACCTTGCATAATACCAAAAGTATTTTAAACATTGTTATAAAAGCTGAGGAATACGGCTTAGAATGAAAAAAGACCACCTTTCCACAATTAGTGTTCGAGAAGTGTCTATATGTGCATGGCAAGGTATGGAATTGGAGTCGACATCTACTTGATAATATGAATGTACATAGTAAGTAGTTACCAAATATGGAGATGTGAAATTGTTGATAAAAGCGGAAGCGTGAAATAAATCAATGTATACCATAAGCTACAATTTGTTGATTGTTTATATTGGTTACAGTTTTGATTGCCCTATTGGTCATACCAGAACTACATTAAGCAATATACATAGATATACACATGCAGAGGAACCTCTAATTAATACCGAACCTACACAGGGCGACTGCAGCCTTTAAAAGAGAGAAACAAACACACATAAAATGTATTTTAAGTCGTCCATAGGCGCAAATGAAATGGTTGGTGTTTTTGCTACATGACACAATCTTTAAAAATATGTTCCATCATTGCAAGGTTGTTTTGTTTCTCCAAGAACTTTTGTCTCTCTGTTAGAAAGACTTCAATAACCCGGTGTGTGCTGATCGTTGGGTGTATGTTACGCTACCTTATATACATACAAAAATGTAATTTTAAATATCAAATTAATTATCAATAATACATCATAAACCATTATCAAAATATTAATAACTAACAAAGTGCAAAAAAGTACTTGATATTAACGCGTGTTTTGGGTGATCTATGGTAACACGCATATCCGGCAACAGTTCCGTATCTGTTGTGCAATAATCACCATATATATTCTATGTACCTATGTTGGCTATAGCAAATGATTTGCATTGCCTTGCAATAAAGTAAAACCAAAAACAGTCCAAGTTATCTTAAGCAAATAATCAAGCCGAGTGCTTTATAACGCTTAATGTTTCCATGACAGTATTAGACTATACCTTTATTAACGCGACCAATTATATGAAAGTATTTGCTACTTAAACGTGGTTCGTAAACCGAACATTTTGGCTAACAGATTCATAGATTGACTATCTGTGTGATCATGACTTTCGAGAACAGAAGTTTTTGGTTTTCGTACACTTTTTTCTTGCAGATCTGGGGTAAAATATTGATAGGGGAATCAAGTACAAGTTTGGAATTCCATAATCAGGTCACAGAAAGAATCAGCTCAATAAAAAAAGACAAAAAAGTCCATCGTACATATAAATTTCTGTTCCATTAGTTTCCGAGTTTGGCAAAAAAATAAACTACAAAATTCACTCTCTTGCAATAAAAACCTATTACAAATGTCGTTTATAAAACACGTCGGCTCTCCAGAGATTTAACACCCCAATTTTCTCAAAATGAATTAAGTATCGAGAAAATCGTCATTTATTACAAACCAATTTGTGTAAATATAGATGGTTGGATTTTATTACAATCCATTTTCTTGTCACACAATGTTTTTCTGTATAGAGCACTGTCTAACAAAGTTAGAGACTGGTATGTTCTAATGCACAATGGACGAGTCTGTATACATAACACACCTCTGATAGTCGGCTAGTCCAGTATTATTAGTTTACCACCATTTTTATAATTTAAAAAAAATAATAAAACAATCTTCGCCTATTATCTATCACTTAAAGAAAAATGCTTTCATATTTTTCATATTTTTTAAGTTTTTGGCGTTTTTGTTTCGACGTTGTCGTTTTCCTCTCAACTGACCTCTTCTGGATCGTTTTGTTTCCTTTACTTGTAGTCCCTGTGGACTTTGTTCACAAATAAAACGTGCAGTGTATCTGTCACAATGTTTATTCCGCCATTTTAATTTCCGTTTCACCACTACGCAGTTCTTCTTGTGTAACATTCGCTTTACTCTAGGACGGCCATTTTTCCAGTTAGTGATAGCAACTGGATCACCACTGACGAACTTCCATACACCAGTATCTTGTTTATCATTCAGACCTTATAAATATATACACAAAACATATATTAAGTACTTAACTAGAATAATATAGTAACAAAATACAATGTAATTGCTGCCATAGGAATCCTACACATAAATGTGCCTTCTAATGCGGATTGTGGAAAATATTTTAATATCAGATATTAAAATATAAATTTGCAATAACTGGAGTTCTTTGTTGACTTTGGATACAAATCCCAAATGTAAATGCATCAGTGACCGGCATTCCAATACAAAGTACCAACTGTTCCAGCAAGGGTAACTTTTATTTTATATTCACCCAAGGATCGGATCAAAATCTTTTATGTTCATTTTGTATTATCATTTTTACACAAGAGTATAATAAATTGGTCTTATTTGTAAGTCAAATTAGAAAAATGGACATAAACTATGACCAGGATGCTAACTGCAATGAGGTACAATAATTGGGGAAGAATACATTAAGCATTACAAGCAATTTCTGCAGGAACGCATTAAGAATAATTATTAGATCTTATTAACGTCATCCTTCGTAACTCTGGTTGACTAGAATGGTTTAGGTTACACATTAGACGTAATCATGCAATGAAATATACATTTTACAGTCTTACCTATCCAAAATGATTTTTTGCGGGCCTGGTGCCCCAACCATTTTAAGTGTTTAGACGAACGAACGCTGGTTAGATGACCATTATGTGTACTAACACACAAGGCCTCGGCGTCATCCCATGGAAGTTTATCATTGATGTATTTATAACAGTACCCGTCAAATTCATGCCAACCTGAATATAAATAACAGAAATAGTATACATTTAAACAGTATATAATTGCTGAAATATAGTTTGAATCAATTGTTAAGTTAAAATTATTACAACTTGGTGGAGATCCAAGTTACCAGAAAATTAAGTTTATTGCTCAACAAGTACGAGTGTACCATGGATCAGGAACCGAGTAGTTCGGCGTCTTCCCAACCATCTGGGAATCGGGACGTCATATCAAAATCGACCAATGGGCAGATGTCCAAGGAACAAGCACACCAAGTTTCATGACGACCGTACTTGAATTGGCGGGACCTTAGGCTCCAAGAAAAACAACAGGATGAATAACAATTAGGGCCCAGTTGCTGGCCCAAAGTGTGACCAACATTATGTGCCAATGGTGAAAACCGATCGTTGCAGATGGGTTATTTTCGCAATGTTTGTTTCATTATCTAGATTATAAATTATATAGTTTGGAACGCGCACAATCTGAAGTACAATTTACAAACTCTCAGAGATTTTAATAGGTACACTGTCTTCTGGCCTGGTTAACCTGGTCTACCAACCGGGTTCTTTTGTTCGTAGGTCATATCAACCTGATGAAATGTCTTTTAGTACATTCCGTCTAAATTCGGATGTCATTTTCGTACTATTTTAAAATTTAAAAGAAAAGATACGAAATAGTGTGAACGTTATGGATTTAAACTCCCGGAGAGGAGGGGGTCAAATGGTCTAGCGCGTCAAGTGGCGTAGTGTTGAGCCCACATTTGTACGTGACAAGGAGTAGGGTCACCTACCTATCCTTGTGGGTTTTCTCCGAGTTCGCTCCTCCCACAGCTAAAGAACCCTGCGCGCAAGTGAACAGATGTTAGTTACGAAAAGACATAGTTTGTGGAGGTTTAACCCAATTTTTCTATGTATATATTTAATTTCTTACCAATCCTGGGCTTCAGTCTAATCAAGGCTGTGTTTTGCTTACTTGTTCTTAAAGACGTTTGTGAAATGAAAGAATTGTGAACATACCTTGCTGGCAAATGTTACTTTTGGGACGTTCATCATTGTTAGATATGGCGTTCCACACCTGCCATTTTCTACCCGTACATTGGAACATCTGCTGGGTATAAAGGTCAAACCGTAGTAAACCCTTTTTAGATACGTCACACACCGGATGCTGAAAGAATAATATTAAATATATTACAATTTTACTGAATAGTTCAGATTTTCAAACTACTTCTAAAATTAAATGAAATGGGGTTTGACATCCTACTGTTGTGATCTGGGCTTATACAACAGTTCAATTCCTTTACGCCAACGTAATATTTCACAACTACCCTGTTGTAAGCAAAACTTCTTTTCTTTCAACATAATGCCGATACACTGAGAACCGCTGATTGTTAAATGAAAGTGTCCAGTCATTTAAAACAAAGGCCGCTTGATTATTTTCGGTGATTTCATAAACAAAACTCAGTGGACACAACCGTCTTATCATGTATAATCGCTATAATTAAAGGGATATCCCTTACCAAAGTACAGTATATCATGTAAAACGTATCCGTGCATCCCTATATAAATAAGATGTATCGCTATTAAAAAAAAAAGCGTATTCCTCTAAATAAAATGTTTCATATACATTGTATCCTTATAAAGTTTATCATATTATGAAGTTTAGCCCAATAAATAAAATGTATTATATAAGGGGTATATATTCCTATACAGAAAACAAGGACAGCTGTTTAGTCGTTCGGATGGGACGAAAATCCGAGGTCCTGTGTACATATTGTCGTGCACGTTAAATATCCCTTGACAGTTTGAATTCGATATAAGAGTAGGCTGTAACACACTGTATGGCGTATGCTCGTCTTCATTAGCCCAGTTGGAGCAGAACAGTAACACGTTAAACCTCATTTCATTTCATTTCCTACATAGAAAATACATCGCTATGGCCATTAATACAAGTACAAATAAAAATTATCAACGTCTCGTTCTGGGCCCCCGTTACAACAACTTCGTCAAACATGTTGCTCCTATACAATTTGTTGTACCTTTGAATTAGAAAACAGTTAATATACTACTGCTTATTTTAACTATTCGATCAGATTTTTGCTGTTATACTTTTTCTCTATTAAACATGCATTATGCAAGAGCTAAATCTGCATATTGTAGGTCTTTCTTTAGGCCTGAAATGTTTTCTAAAGTATTAATTAGACATTAATTAACTGATCCAGGCCTTAATCAACTCTCGATGGCATCAGATTTCTCCGATATTAAATAGATTAGAATGGTTCAGCGATACTTTGATTTAATCAAATATGGAGGACCGAGACTTAGCTTCGATCAACCAGTACGGTTGTTGAAATTATTGCACACGTCTGTCAAGCCTTCAAAGGCTAATATCTTCGCTTGCAATAGAGTAATTTGAATGAAATTTTCAAATTATTCATTTTACATCAACTACTTTCGAACTATTATAGCAAGAATGGCTAGTTCTTTATCTAAATCTTACATAATGTATCTTTAATTTACACTCACGTTTGTTGGTGATCCTGGAGATATTTGACTTTTATCAAAATTGTTTTGCATGGAGACATCCTTTTTTTTCTTCTTTTTCTTGTTGTTGCTATTCTTTTTCTTGTTCTTCTTTTTCTTCTTTTTAGTTTTTTTGGTGATTTTGGGTTCAGTATTTAAATATGTGTTATCTCCCGCTTTGAAGGGCTTTGAAAGTATGTTTGAAGTATGGTACTGGAAATAAAAATATCTGGTATACAGAAAATACATTGCTATGACCATGAACAAAGTACAACGTATAAATCACCAACGTTCTAAGCACAACTAGATGCCCTTCATACAATGAAATGTCCTGAGAATAATGGATACAAACTGGAGATGGGTGGGGGGCGTTGTGTACAATAAATGTATAACTTACAATGTCACCTAGGCCAGTACTAGAATTCTTTGATGGAATCATAATGCTGTCTGCATGTGTGAGAAATCCGTCATGATTGCTGCTAACCATTCCAAGATATTGTGGACATTCACCTGGATAAAGATAACATAAAGTTCAAAGATAGGTTGCCAGACAAAAAAACATACGCCCACAGCAGCTAAATCGTCCGAGCGGTCGACAAGAGTTGTCGCATATTTATTCTTTTGTAGGTAATTAGGGGAATTTAATAGACAATTTCATACAGATGACATTATAATTTTCGTCGTTTGAGGGTTCACAAGGTTCTAAAAACTAAAACAAGGGTCGTAACTCTGGAAGTAATCTACAGAAATTGTTGAAATTCAACAGGCTTTTTCGTTTTACTAATTCAAATAATGCATATAAATTTCATACAGATCAGATGATAACTTTTGTCGCTCGAACGTTCACAAGGTTCAATAAAGTTAAACAAGGACCATGACTCTAGAAGTAATTGACGGAAATTGCTGACATTCAATAGGCTTCTTTATTTCACTAATTTAAATGATGCATATGAATTTCATACAGATTAGGTGATAACTTTTGTCGTTCAAGCGTTCACAAGATTCAACAAAGTGAAACAAGGGCCATAACTCTAGATGTAATTAACGGAAATTTGCTGAAACTCAATAGGCTTGTTCGTTTTACTAATTTAAATGATACATATAAATTTCATACAGATCGGATAATAACTTTTGTCGTTAGAGCATTCACAAGATACAACAAAGAAAAACAAGGGCCATAACTCACGGCGTAATTAACGGAAATTGCTGAAATTCAATAGAATTCTTCGTTAAACTAATTTAAATGATGCATATCAATTTCAAACAGATCGGATGATAACTGTTGTCATTAGAGCGTTCACAAGATTCAACAAAGTGAAACAAGGGACATAACTCTACATGTAATAAATGGAAATTGCTGAAATTCAATAGGCTTCTTTGTTTTACTAATTGAAATGGTGCAGACAGACGGACGGACAGGGGCGACGGCAATGTACGACCACATTTCCATGTGGGCGTATAAAAATCATCTTTTTAGTTTTAGATACTACACAGTGTCTCTACTTAAAGGGGCATTATATATGTAAAAGCTAAATCTGTCTATTGTAGGTCTTCCTTAATGCCTTAAATGTTATATATATTATTAATTAGACATTAATTAACTTACCAAGACGATAATTAACTCTCTATGTCATGCTCAACAGATTTAAATACGACTGACAGTATTAATGATTTTATTTTTACAAATATTGGATAATTGAGACATTGTTTATTATTTTAAAACGGTAGCAATGACAATCGAGGCTACGCAGTTATTTTAACGGCGATAACTCGACTCAGAATGAAGTAATTTGACTTAAATTTTCAACATATTCCGTTTTTATTATATATTGTTAACTATTACAGCGAGAACTGTCAGCTCTATATCTAATCTTACAAAATGCCCTTTTACTTGATTTATAAGCAAAATATTGCACCATACATACTCCTAGAGGGCAATTAAATTTCAAATCAATAAATACAAAACAAAACTAGTGTAATAATGGACTTCGGACTTCGGCAGGTTAATTTTCGAAAATATCAGACTAAGCATACTCTGTCTCATGCATTGGATCCAAGAATTACATAATCAACCATACATTTTCTAAGACTTCCCAAACGAGATGCTTCACCGGGTGTTTCGAAAAAAACAAACCATAAAGTGTACGCTAGCTTGTTCACGACATCTTTTACATGTAGTATTATAATAACACGTATCGGTGTTAATGACATAAATCTGAGACTAACTATATATTATACATATTAGAACATAAATTTTGCAACCCATGTGATGAATTATTTAGAAGGAATTGTGGACACGAGGTTTATTTTTTATAGATAACGTTTCGTTTTGTTATGAAATTCGCGACAATGGTGTTGTTATTCAAACAATGTATAGTGACAACTGGGTAAAGTTAAAAGATTGTTTGTGCACCGTGTGTTGGTTAAGTGCAAAAATATCCCATGGAGGTTACAGATAAGATCACGTTACAACTTGGCTGATCTCGTCATCTCGTGGGGAACCAAGAATTGATTATAAAAATGTAACGAAGACAAGCGATATTTAAACCTCTTACCATTTTCTGAATTAATTAACCTCAATCGCAACTTCCTCGTATCTCCTATAATAGCATTGATTGGATCAACCAGTGTCAATCGCAACTTTTCATTCGTTTCTTCCAACCCATCATCTTTTATAAGCAACTCCCATGTAGCTCTGGACTGACCTGATATAAAAATATAAAACAAAATTAACAATAATTTATACTGATAGTATACAAAGTAGGAAGGAACTTAGGACTTCTTTCATATAATTCAAGAAAGCCGGAGTAATCCTACCACGAACATACCACCCACTAACGGCATTTTTAACTTGGCGAGAGTCGCTGTGGCTCTCATATAATTTAAGTAAGCCCACCACGAACACACCACCCACTAACGGCATTTTTAACTTGGTGAGAGTCGCTGTGGCTCAGTGAAAAAGACGTTGGTCTATGCCGGTGTTGGCCGAGAAAATTCATCGGGATTTTCCAGTGTGGTTTCCCCTTGTCAGTCGTATAGGACGGGGGGCTTGGCAAGGGGCAAAACACATAGTCATTCGAATGAGGATGAAAAACTGTGGTCCCGTGCCCACACTGGCGTTAACTTAAAAGAAGCCTTGGCAGTTGAAATTCGATATTTGGAGGTGGTGGGTGGAAATGGTTAATGCGTGCGCTTTTGATCATAAGGTCTGTCACTAAGTCAAGTGGTGTGGTTTCGCGTGTATGTGACGAGGAGTAGGCTCGCCTGTCCAGCCTCGTGGGTTTTCTCCGGGTCCTCCGACTGCCAAGACTCCTACGTGCTTGCGAATTACTGAAATGAACTAGTTTGTGTCGAGTGGACGTTAAAGCCCATTTCTCCCTATTATGGCAAATTTTCCCATATAGCACACGCAATAGTCGAACAGTTTGAATATTTGACGAAATCCAATCATATCGAGACAATTAGTCAACATTAGTTCAGTAAGTGTTGGTTCACAGAAAACAATGTTGCGTGCTTTATAATTCTAGCACATACAACAAAATAACATCTGCACATCTGAAATGGATCATTAAATTTCTAAAATGGATGTACACGTGGTTTACTGTATCATTATTTCAAAAGCAAAAGTTACCTGCACCAAACTGTACTTGTCTTGCCGAACTTGGAACAAAATCTTCTCCTGTTTTGGCTGACATTTCCTTTATCTGTACACCTACGTAAGCCATTTGATTAAGTGCACCTCTTCGCAGTATTGTGATTGACAATGTTCCGACGTTTTCACATGCCACCATATCGGCCGATATAAACTCGATTCTTGACCATTCAAAGGATATACTGTATAAAAAAGCAGAATGAAAGATTCCCACAATAAATAAAAGGGCAATACATCTCAAATTGTAAGACCAATTTCGAAAGCAGAAGTTGGTTCTACAGGGAAATCAATTTAGTATCAATGCCGATAATACTTTGATAATTAAAAAAAGGGTTTTGAGATTATTTCTATCATGCTCAGATTCTGGTGAAATGGTCTTTTGCAAACCTGCAAACATTAAAATGACCACAACCTTTATAAAGTAATCTAAAGACTGGGCTTGTGGTAGGTGTATGTTTCGTTGTCTGGCAACCTATGTGCATTATAATAATACTTACTGTTGGTTGTTCAGTTCGTTGCCACGGTTGTCCTCTACCCGGAAAGTGAAACTATCATTGGTGCTAGTAACATCTTTATTAACAATGTAAATCAGACTGTCTTCATCCAAATCCTTTTGAGTAAAACGTCTTCTTACGAATCGCTTAGCTTCTGTGTTTTGGATATGGCCATGTTTGGGTTTTTTGACCATAGTGTAGATCAAGTTGCTACTCCGCGTGTCAGAGTCTACGGCTCTCAGGACTTTGCTGTTTAATTTATAACCGTATTTTTGCTTCCCAAAATGTTCTAGAAATTCTGGGTGCTTGTTGACGATCATCGTAGGAGGGTCGTCTTTTAGAACATGCACAAATATGCTGCTCATTGCTGGTTGAGTTTGAGCAGTGTTGTTAATGAGGAAAGTGGAATGTTTACCATCAGATAAAGTAAAAAGAAAATTATCAAGCCCTGCTCTAGACCCATCACTTGTGTAGGTAATGAAACCACGATCAATGTCTGTTTGTGTAAAAGTATGGGTGATCATGACTCCTCTGTTAGACAGATTTCCATACGTCGGGGGTTTAGCTATTGTGTATGTAAGGTTCAAAGCATCAGTGTCAGGGTCTGTAGCTTTAATATGATGAGGTGTGATAACTTCTTCGGTTCCTTGTAGCACTTCTAGTAGATTATTGGCAACTAAAGAAGGCAAGAATCTGTCCAAAGGTTGAATTTTAATCCTGAATTCGCCATTTTTAGCTTCACTAAGTCCATTAGTAACGGTAAACACAAACGAGTCTTCAGTGATGTCAGTTTTTGTCAAGTGAATGTACACTACTTTCTGAGAAGCCAAATCCAGCTGAGAAAAACTATTTATTAATCCTGTAGGTTGATCAATATATTGAATTTTCCCTAGTCTCGGGGGCCTTATTACTGCAAATACGATTTCTTCTGCATTAGTGCTCTCGTCTGATGCGCTTAGATTATTAGTGCTGATAGCAACTCGCTCGCCTTCACGTATTTCCATACCCCTGTTTAACAAGGCGATGTTAGCCTTGCGGGAATTCTTGATTCTGATTTCAAACGTTTCTTCGTGTCTTTTATATTTACCATCTGACAGCACAAACATAAATCTATCCGTTTCACTTTCACCCATACTTGTTGTGTGCACATATCTTACTTTATTCAAATCCACGTCTTTTTGGGTGAAGTTTGTGCCTGGTTCGATGTCCCTGCAATCACTATCTAAGCTTTTGGAGAAAGGGTTTGGACAATATTGAAGAATACCCTTCTTAGGTAATTCCACCACGATATAGTATAGATAGGCATCGCCATTGTCGTCATCCGTTGCTTGCAGGGCAATACTTGAAATTAATCCAGATTCACCATAATCCAGTTGTAACCCCGCATTCTTAATAACCTCGGGTTTTTCGTCATTTCTAGCCCGAACAGTGACATTACAAACACGTTTTATATCATGTTTACCGTCCGATACCGTTACGACGAATTTATCGTTCATACTCTCGGAGCCATCATGTTTATATTTCAATTGCATTCCGCTGTGGAGTTCTTCGATGGTAAAGTCCTGAACTTCAGCTTCAACGTGACCTTTTCTTGTCTGAATCATCATCACAATTTGTCCATGTTGAGGTTGCTGTGATAGTGACATGGTTAGAGAATCTTTGGGCATGTCTAAATCAATGGCATCCATCATGGATTGGTCCATCATCATGAAGCCTCCTTCGTCTATAGTGAAATCTTTTAGCATTAAATCGGGTGCTTCATCATTTGCTTGTATTATATTGACGGAGATGATTTGAGAATCGGAGTTTAATTTGCCGTCAGTAGCATATAGTTCAAACTGATCGTGGACAGGTTCGACGCCTCGGTGGTTTGATTGTACATAGTTGATGGATCTATCCAAGATATCGCTGTAAGTGAATGAGTTGATACGAAGTCCTGCATTAGACTTTTCGGACCCTGGACTAGGTTTAATGTTTTCAAGGAAGCCCCATTGCGGTTGCTTAGTTATCATAAATTCGATTTCCTTCGTTTTCGAGTCGAGATCTGTGACTTGCAAGACGTTCTCATTTATGTTATAAACATCCCCCTCTGATACAAGAACTGGGTCACCCAACAGAATTGTTGGTTTTTGATTGTTTACGGGGGTTATCGTTATGTTCAAATCATACACAGGAAGTTCGACGGAAGCTAGATAGTTTTGATCAGACACGATAAATGTTGCAACATCATGTAAGGACTTCAGTCCAATTTCCCCACTGGTGTGTAGGAATGATATCAATTCGTCTTTTAGGGCTTTTTGGGTAAACTTTGTGAGGGGTTGTCCTTTCAGTTGAAGTACACCATATCTCGGCTGACGAACGATCAAGAAAACCAGTGATTCGTCATCAGTGTCGTCGTCGGTTGCCGCTAAAATATGAGGCGTCAACAAGGCCTCACTTCCTTCCGATACGATCAGATATGGTCGAAGATTTTTTTGAAGACGCGGTGTTTTATCATCTATCGGCACAATATCCACGGTAATAACTTTGGTAGCTTGATTGACACCGTCAGTCAAAGTTAATGTGAAGGTGTCGATCTCAACATCGGACCCGTCGTGAACATACCTGAAAAAATTCACATTAAATAAAACAATAAATGACTTATAGAGAACGTTGCAGACTAGAAAACTAAACATAGCATAAACAGTACGCGATGACAGCGCACATAATCCAAATTGTTAAAATGCTATAAAATATATTCTGTGGGAACTAGTTTTGCGTGTTACTAAATCTTTTGCCATTAGCTCAACCAACAAGAACATAACGTTATAAACTAGCATCCAACCTCGTGGGTTTTCTCCGGGTCCTCCGGTTTCCTCCCACTGCTAAAGACCCCTATGCGCAAGCGAATTATTGAAATAAAATTAAACCATATTATGTTAGTCCCGAAATGACCTAGTTTGTGTCGACTGGACGTTAAACCCCATCTCTCTCTCTCTCTCTCTCTCTCTCTCTCTCTCTCTCTCTCTCTCTCTCTCTCTCTCTTTATAAACTAGCAGGCATACAATTCATTGCATAATATTAAATTTACCTTATTGCAGTTTTCTGTAGATCTTCAACCATAAATACCCCTTTTTTACCGATATCAACGCCATCTCTTTGTAATTTACCGTATTTAGGAAGAATGTCGCAAATGAATTTCAACTCCTCAGATGGTGTATCGTCATCAATGGCTGACAGTTGATTAACAGTTATACCTAATATCCCGCCTTCTTCAACCAGAAGTTTCTCGGTAGTAAACCTGGGAACTCGGTTGTTTACAGGTAAAACCTCTATATCAAAGGTTTGTCCATAGATTTTATTCCTGTTTCCATCTTCAACCGTGTACACAAAACGAACGAGTCGTGGTAGAGGGCCTATATCTTCCCGGGGAGGAAGATACGCGATCTTCAAATAGTTAATGTCTTCCTGAGTAAATTTGGGAACCTGAGGCAAAATATGTTCTTTGGTGACCATAGTAAGATTATGTGTAGCTACAAGATAACCAGCATCTCTTTCACCAGTATTAAACACGAAATAAGGAGGTGTGGTAATCGTGTAGACAATGTCACGGGGTGGCGATTCAACATCCGTATAAAGTAGCTGAGCTTGGCCGATATAGCCTACATCTGTTTCTCTGACTTGTAGAATCTTCAACGCATTAGTATCCATCTGCGGTGGATTTTCATTCAAGGGATCGATCAGGATATGGAACTCGTGTTCATCTGATTCGTTTGGTGGATCGTGTTGATCTTGTAACCTGAATCGAAAAGTGTCCCTAAAGACATCCTTGCCATTATGCTTGTAGTACACTTGACCCTTCAAGATATCCCTCTGCCGGAATCCAAAGATGGTGGTCTCAGTGTTTGAGCTCCTTAGCTTTCTTACAATTATACCAGCTTTTGGAGGATCGGTTAGAGTGTAGATAATGTTGTAATCCAAAGAATCGTCATCATGAGCAAGCAACACATCATCACTTATCTTCTTCATTTTACCTTGATTTATATGGAAACCTAAATTGTTGACCAAATTGGGAGGGGTATCGTCTTTTGGGATGATTGTAATTGGGAAGGTGGCTAGTACAGTATGAATACCATCATTTATTCTCAGGCCAATTTCGTCTTTAGTTGAATCACTGTCATCGTGAACATACATCACCTGGCCATTTCTTAAATCTACTGGTCGAAACATGATGCTTTGCTTGCCATTGACGGTTAAGGTGCCGTGACGGACACCACCTTTTACATAGACACGAATTCCTTCTAAATTATCCCTATCAACAATCTGCAGATCATCAACCGTGATAGGTCGTGTTTGTCCTTCTAACAAAACTAATCCATGATTATGCGAAACTCTTGGGGCACTTGTTGAAGATGGCCGCACAGCTACGTGTAACGTTATTGGCATAGAAGATGCAAAATGACTATCAAAGACAACAAGTTCTGCTTCATAATGTCGTTGCGTTGTATAACTAACGTTTGGGGGTCGATAAGCAATACGGTGATTATCCAAATCGTCTTGATAAAATGAAGTGATTTGTGTTGACTGATCATTAATGTTCACAAAATAGCCCTTCCCATCACCAAAATTTTTACTGATATTGAAAACTAATTGTGAATTGGGTGTTTCATAATCCTCAGCTTGAATTATTCCAGGAATGATCGTCGAGAGAACAAACTGGTCCACGTCCATCATTGACAGACTCATATCTGATGAACGTGGTGGGGAGTTGGGGATAGCACCTTTAATATATATTGGTAGATAGAACATCTCTGTTATCACTTCCTCACTGATAGACGGGTCAAAAAGTTCAACTGTTAATGGTAAGTAATCAACGTCCGGTATCGGTGATCTCAGATGCTCATAATGAAGATTCATATATAAAAACTCTCTGCAATCTTTTCGAACTGCGTCCACAGTTTGTCTATTTTTGCCAATTGTCATCTGACCAGCAATTGGCCAGTGGGAATGATACCTTGAGAATCCGACGGTGCACGAGCCGTTTTTGTTGTTGCTATGACGAAACCTTAACACTGACCCGTCGATTGTGTTGGATAGTTTCAGCAATCCAGGAACCACAACAGGCCTGAGTCCCTGTGTCATGAAGACTTCATTAGATGCGTTAACTATCCTCACCGTTAGGTATACCGTCTCAGTTTGTGTGGCTGTGCTTGTAAATCTATGGACCCGTAATTTAACTTCATCTTTCGACAGAAGTGGTGAACCATTGTGAATGTATTTGATCGTCTTTGCCGAGAAATGACAGTCAAAGATCTGAAAATACAAAATAAAAAGGGATAAGAGATTAAAAAAACTAATTGATAAATACACGTTTTTTTATAGCTTTAGAAGTGGCAGTATAACATGTTTTAGAAATCATAATCCATGGCGATTGTGTGAAGTTTAAACCTAGAATTCAAAAACCGAAGCTACTGTGCAAACTGCTCAAACGGAGATGAGCGTTTTAAAACAATGTATTTGGGTGTTTTATTTGTTTCTTTTGATACGAGCCAGTAAATAAGAGGGATGGGGGCGCTCCCTCCTTCCTCCTATCCAATTGTTGGTGTGATGAGGGGTTCCCTATATATGTTACAGTCAATGTCTACAATCAGGCAATGTGTACAATGCCTTTGTTACCCTAACCCCCACCCCAACCCTTACCCTAACCCTAACCCGGCAATGTACACATTGACTGGTATATTTTAGGCATTGTACACATTGCCTGATTGTAGACATTGACTGTCACATATACATAAATTGCAATAGATCCTAATATTGCAAGCATCTCTATCAATAAAGACAAAATAATTTCTGTGTATAAAAAGACCCCTTAACACCTTTCTCGCGACCTACGTTTTGCCTGAAACCGCAGATGGTTGAACGAGTTTCTTTTACTATCTGTCTTCATCATTAGATTGTAAATTTTGCTTTATTTGTGTCTTTTGGTTAATTATTATCATCAGTGATCAGATAAGGCTTTTGATATCGTAAAATTAATTATTCTGTACCGATTAATGAATATTTACCTAAGTCAAATAAATGAGATTCTTATCTTAAATTCTCAGCTGTAGATTTCATGAACTCGATGAAATTTACTAGACAACTTGTATTCATGCAACACAGGTGTCGAAAACCCAAATGCAATGTCTCTGTACAGAATTATCGCAGAGTATATAAAACATCTATTGAAAAAAAATCATAATGGGAACATATGTCTAAAAAGACATCTTTGAATATATGATGAAAACCACACGTGTCAAACATCAATTAATATAATCGATAAAGTCATTTAAGAGTATCAAAAATTAGAAATTACTTTCATATATAAAATACGAATAGATGGCTTTAAGATAGCAGCTACTTAATAAAGCTAACGCCATCTTGGTATGAAAGATATGTATCATGAATAATAAACTTAAGGGGTGATAGTCTGACAGAAACCCAGGTGCTACAGACTAAACATTATCTAGACAGTCAAATATCCCGTTTTCAAGTGCCTTTTCACAAGTTTGGCAAATGGAATCCGAGACGTTCACGTGTGCAGACAGAAATCGTGGTATAATGCATGTTTCCTTTCTCTAGTAGATCTAAAATATTTGGTATAAACTTGTATGGATTGCGGAATTGGGGCTCTCGTGTCGAATCTATCTATGGCGGCTGTCAAGTATCATGTCAATTAGTGGGTTACAAGCCCCACAAACACGGAAATCCATCTCACCCCGATTCTGCGGTGGGATATTTACCAAATGCGCCATTATTGCTTTCTTTATCATGTGAACAAACATCCCATGTAAATCAACATATTACATATGCACATCAAGAGGTAAACCATGTTTTGTTATTATGTTCTAAATTTGTCTTAAAAGTATTTACTTGTCCTTAGTGAACACTAAACGCACGAACCGAGGCGTTCTTGCGGCGTTTTAATGGCTAACACCTGGAGTCGGGTTAACGAAAGACGATAATAAGGACTCATTTATGAACTACTTAACGTGAACATAAATACTTCATACCGTTAATAGATTCAATACGGTTCTGATTTATAAGTTGTTAGCTTGATTTATTACTTTGATTATTGACACAATCAACAATAATTATATCATTAATATAGTTGTACACCTTTAAAACAACTTAACAAACATAAACAACACACAACAACAACGGATATACTATAATAATTTTGGCGGGAATCACTGCCTGACATTATTATTGTTGTAACGGCCATTTGCATACATGGACATACCCGTATGTCATTCATACCAAAGTTCATGACCCTTGACGTAACACCCACTTCGGTTTTACGGTACGTGAGATTTTTCAAAAAGAGTGTGTGGGTAAAACATATTAATTTACAAAGGTATGCAGTGTATGTAAACAAAATATATAGTTATATACATTGTAACAAATCTGCGAACATGGGTAAGATCTGTGGGACAACAACTTTAGGGGGTAACGTCAGCATGGACTGTTGGCTGCAAAATGCTTTAACTTATCTTATTCGTAATAGAATACATGTAAAACGTATTAGGGTACTTTTATTAATTTAAAAACTTTGTTTAATATATACAAGTACAGGAATTTAGGATTCGCTAACATATTTAATGGAATGCTTTGGAAACTTTAGTTATATAGGCAGTTCGGAGACTAATTAATTTATAAAATCTCATTTATCAGTTATTCATTTTGACCCCCCCCCCCTCTCTCTCTCTCTCTCTCTCTCTCTCCCTCTCTCTCTTTTGCAATCCGTTCGCTAATAGACCACTCAAACATAATTCATGCCACTCTTAACATAAAATAAATCGCTGATGTGTTTTAATCCATTTCTAATTATCTAATTTTAGTAGGCCTACGCCTCTTTTTCTGGTTTTGAATTTATTTAAATTGAGTAATTCAAGTACGTCTTAACCGTATTTGGAGTTCGGATAATAAACAAAATAGGAAAGTCTGATGATGTCTCAAGTGTTCCGTGGGCGTTATATTGATCAAAACCTGTCCATTGTTCCCTGATTTTCTAAGAAACAAAACGACGTAAAAACAGCAAATTGATTAAGTTTTTTGATAAAGTGTGTTGTGTTATAGATGGCATATGCGTAATCTACCCAGAACATCTGAAACCATCTCATTTGAGATGTTCACATAGCAAAAACGTGTTGTTGCACTTTGGTAATTGTAACAATTTCAAAGACATGGGTTTTGTCTCTGTTTCAAATATCACTGCTGATGAATTAATGGTGGACCAACGTTGTACTGGACCTTGGTAGAAAAATGCTCCCACACGTAAATATATATGAAAGACGAGCCTTTATATCGACATTGTTTATCAAGGAGAATTTGTTGCAAAAATTGAGAATTCTCCGTACATTACAAACTGCAACAGTCACCGAGGTGTACACTTAACCACCAGAAATCTTTCAGACGCGCCATTTTTATATATCTTCGTAAAGAAATATAATTTTAAAAAAGGTACTATTACAATTTGTTCTTCGAATAGGTAGGCTTCGGGATAAGTTTTCTAGATAAGTATTAGATAGTGGCGTAACTAGAGCCCCCCTCCCCCAAACACATACCTACATCAAACATACTTAAATTACTCAACATAAAGCAGCGTTAATCAAGGAAGTAGACCAACATTGGCCCTTCGATGAAGATGCCGTTCTGTGGGGGTTGGGGGGGGGGGGGGCTGTCTCAAATTAGGTAATAGATCATTGATATTGGTAATAATAGACCATCTATAATCCTTTTTAAATTGCTTTACGTTTCGTTTGTTTCTATTATACTAGTTTCATCTGTTGAATTAAAAATTATCTAATTCTCAAACAATGCCGATATTCCATTAAAATATATGGAGTACTGGGCCTAGCATATTCCACTATACTTATATTTGGAGCCATGTTTTGTGGATTGGCTCTTGCAGCATATGGCGTACAGTAAATCACGTAGTTTTTACATAACTTTTATTTCATTTTTGATACATTTGGGAATAATTTTAAAACTTAAAATTAGGACTAATACTGGAAAAGAGTTTATTCTCTTCGTGAATGACTTAATGCAGATTGTTAAAGATGCCTTTCCGCTTACAAACTGTGTGAATTTTTGATACGTTTGGACTAAATCAAATTCAAACTAATTTATCTATCAAATGGTGTTTTTGTTTTTAAATCTTACTCAAGAACACATACTTGATTATATCTATGGGCATTTTTAAACAAAAACGACCATAAAATAACTTTACAAAGAAAATCCCTTTAGATTTTATTTTTGAACCAGATGAAACAACTTTAGTCGTTTTAATTTTTTTATGAAAGCTTATATTTCTTTTCAGTTGGTTTTTAGTTGATGGGACTGGGGAACTGTAATGGGAGCTCGTTCATTCAACACACTGAATCAAATACTTTCGGGTTAGATCGAAATATTAGGGCCACCTGCAGATTTCGTCAAGGTCGCGACCATGACGAAATCTGAATTTGGCCTTAATATTTAGACCTGACACACTTTCCAGTATACTTTTAACCCCGTGATGCTAACACCATACAGGGTCTAATTGCCACGCACGTTCTCTTCTCCCTTTTTATTCCGGACAGTTCGTTTCAGGACCGGAACTTGACTTGTCACCGGAATCAACTGGAAGGCTGAAAAGCCAAGTGACCCAAATAGCGACTTTATCGTTTTGAGTATATAAAGTTTAAAATTAACATAGCTAACCTAAAAGACTGATTTTTTTAAAAATTATTGGAAGATTGATATACTATAATAAAGTGTACTTTTGAAGAAGATTCTTGATTGCATTCGTTGCCATGGTAACATTTGACGACCATCTGATATCCACTTGGATCGCTTTGCCGTGTACATATTTTATTGTGTAAGTTTTTACCCAACCAAGATCTATACAAATAGTCTAGTAGGAAGTGAATCAGGTTGTCGAAATGGATTATTAGTATACCATATGTTTGGTGTTTTGTTTTTTTTTGGGTTTTTTTTTTGGTTTTTTTTTATGGGTGCAAGACGGAGGGCCAGATATTGTGAATGATTCAAGTGGACATGAATTAATATTCCAGGAAGTCATAATAGTATTTCGGTTTTGAAAATATTTAGATCAGAAAATGTTACTTTAAAGTAGCTAAGTCTCTAACTCAATATCATCTAAAATCTTCGACATTGAAAACACGATTTATTTGTCGGTTCAAATCAATATTGATGTTGTGATCTTACCGGGAAAAGATGGCCTTCTGATATCCAATATTTAAAAGACAAAATAAACATTTTACAATTGGTAC